CACAGACTACAAACTATCACTAACCTTGCCTCATTAACAAAACAAAGAAAACCCATTCCCAATGGTATTATGTTGCTGTTGTTAAGTGCCTTCAAGTTGGTTCTGACTCATAGTGAACCTGTGCAGGGTTTCCAAGGAGTGGCTAGTGGGTTTGAACCTCCCACCTTGTGGTTCAAATTAACCTTGTGGTCCAGTGCATTATCCTGCAGTGCGACACTAGGACTCAAATGATATTATGGTAGATAGAGTTTACCACACATTTTTGTCGGAAACAATTCAACCTATAACATCAGCATTTAAACTTAGAAGGTTGTGCAGAAAAAAATCAGAATTTCCAGGTTATTTTTTTTACAAATAAGAAAAATCAAAGACACTAAACCTGCCTTCCCACAAGGTACAATTGGCTGGAGCAGAGTTTCAAGCACGTCTTTGGACCGGCACACTCCAGTCCCTGACAGTCCCCATACCTGTTTTATTTAACTAGCATCACCTGCCTGCTTATGTCACCTAGTTGGTTTTCATGGCATTTGAATTTGCATTCTATAGTATAATGCTTAATCTGAAATGTAAATAATCTAGAAATGATTCACCAATAATTGTTTCCAAATTGCCAGAATTTGTGCCTAGCTCACTCACCTATACAGAGACCTTCTGCTGTTATTATTGTTAGGTTCTGAACCTTCTGTTGTTTTTAGGTTCTTTGAGCTGGTCCTGACTCATAGAGAACCTATGCACAATAGCACAAAACACAACCTGGTCCTGTGCCATCCTCTTAATTATTGCTTTCTTTGAGCCCATTGTTGTAGCCACTGTATCAGTCCATCTAGTTGAGGGTCTTACTCTTTTTCACAGATGCTCTAATTACCAAATGTGATATCCTTTTCCAGGGACTGTCATTGTTAGGTGCCATTGAGTTGTTTCTGACTCATAACAAGCCTATGCACAACAATGCACAACACTGCCCAGTCTATATCATCCTCATAATTTTTGCTGGGTTTGAGCCCATTGCTGCTGCCACTGTGTTAATCCATCTCATTTGGGGTCTTCCTCTTTTTTGCTTTATAAACACAATGTCCTTCTCCAAGGACTGCTCCTTCTTCCAGAGACTGTTGTTATATGCCATGGAGTCGGTTCCGACTCATAGAGACCCTGCACAGGGTTTCTGAGGCTGTTAATCTTTACGGGAGCAGAAAGCCTCATCTTTCTCCCGCAGAGCAGCTGGCTGTTTCAAACTGCTGACCTTGCGGTTTGCAGCCCAATTCATAACCACTACACTATACTAGTTGCTCCTTATCACATGTCCAGAGTATTTGGGATGAAGTCTCACCTACCTTACTTCCAAGGAGCTTTCTGGCTGCATTTCTTCCAAGACAGATTTATTTATTCTTTTGAAGTCTCATGGTACTTTCAGTATTCTTTGTGAATACCATAATTCAAATGCATCAATTCTTCTACAATCTTCCTTACTCACTGAAAGACCTTTTAGGGCACCCCCAATGCTTGCTAAGCCATCAGTCTAGCCTCTACCTGATAACCAGTCGTTCTCTTATAAAGGCAGTGAAATTATAGAAACTCACTCCTATAGGCTTTAAATATATAGAAACTCACTCCTATAGGCTTGGGAGAGACGAAAAGAGAAATAAGCAAACACTCAAAGAACAACAGACTGACAGAGAAATGTAAATAGAGCAAGCCATTTCATTACCCAACTGTACTCACAGACGTGAAGTTATGCTTAAAGCAATGAACATGTTGAAAAAATTTATGTTAAAAAAAAGCATGCAAGAAATCATGGTCTCCTCACATTGACATAGAGTTGAATAGAATGTACTGTTCTAGTGGTCAGGCTGTTGGACTCTGTGGACATGCTAGAAGAAGAAGAAAAAAAGATTAATTATTGGCCAAAGAGTAATGTTGACTTACGAAGAAGTGTTGTTAAGTGCTGTGGAGTCAGTACTGATTCATAGCAACTTTGTAGAGGGTTTCTAAGGTTATACATCTTTAACAGAGCAGAAAGCCTATCTTTCTCCTGCAGAGCAGCTGGTGTGCTTGAACTACTGACTTTGTGATTCACAGTCCACAGCTTATCCTCTGGCGCCACTGCACTCCCTACAAAGAATTAGAGGGATTGATAAAATGTATCTGCAATTTGTATTATGTAAGGAAATCTGTGTAGTTATTATACTTGATTGTTTGAGGGGGCAAGTTGGTGTGAAAAGACAAAGTCAAGTATTATAATGAAATGTGCAAAGACCTGGAGTTAGAAAACCAAAAGTGAAGCGCATGCTCAACATTTCTTAAGCTGAAAGAACTGAAGAAAAAAATCAAGACTAGTTTGTAGTATTGAAGAATTCTATGAGCAAAACATTGAAATATGCCACAAGCATCAAAAAAAGATGGAACGAATAAAGAGTAACTATACCAAAAAGAAAGTCAATGTTTAATAATTTCAAGAAGTATATGATTAAGAACTTACAGTACTGAAAGAAGAAATTCAAACTGCACTGAAGACATTGGCAAAAATAAAGTCTATAAGAATTTGATAGAATACAAACTGAAATCTTTCAACAAACTGATGAAGCACTGTAGGCACTCAATTATCTATGCAAAAAAAAAAAAAAAAATTGGAAGACAGCTACATGGTCAACTGGTTTAAAGAAATCCATATTTGTGCTCATTCCAAAGAAAGGTGACCCAAAAGAATGTGGAAATCATTGATCAATATCACTGATATCACATGAAAGTAACATTTTTCTGATAATAATTCAAAAACAGTTGCAACAATACATTGATAGGGAGCTGCCAAAACTTCAAGTCAGATTCAGAAGAGGATGTAAAATGAGGGATATCATTAATGACATCAGATGTATCTTGAATAAAAGCAGAGAATACCTGAAGATATTTACTTATGCTTTATTGACTATGCAGAGACATTCAATGTGTGGAGATAGTTAACTATGCATAATATTGCAAAGAATGGGCATTCCAAAACACTTAATTGTTCTCATGAGGAACCTGTGCATAGACCAAGAGGCAGTCATTGGATTAGAACAAGGGTATACTGAATGGTTTAAAATCAGAAAAGGTGTGTTCCGAGGTTGTAGCCTTTCACTATACTTATTCAATCAGTATGCTGAGCATATAATCTGAGAAGTTGGATTATATGAAGAAGAGTGTGGCATCAGTATTAGAGGAAGATTCATTAACAATGTGCTATACACAGATAACACAGCCTTGCTTGCTGGAATCGAAGTGGACTTAAAATACTGATGAAGATCAAAGACTACAACCTTCTGTGTATATTGCACCTCAGTGTAAAGGGAAAAAAAAACTTTACCACTGGACTAATAAATAACATAATAATAAATGGAGAAAAAAATTGAAGTTGTCAAAGACTTCATTTTGCTTGGCTCGGCTGTCAACTCCTATAAGCAGCAGCCATGAAAGTATTAGAAAAAGACCTCTTTGATGTGTCCAAGGACAAAGATATCAGTTTGAAGAATAAGGTGCACCTGACCCAAGCAAATGTATTTTCAGTTGTCTTGTATGCATGTAAAAGTTGGACAATGAAAAAGGAAGACTACAAAAGAAAAACGTGGCATCAGGATTGGAGGAAGACTCATTAACAACCTGCAATATGCAGATGATACAACCTTGCTTGCTGAAAGTGAAGAAGACTTCAAATATTTACTGATGAAGTTCAAAGAGCACAGCCTTTAGTATAGATTGCATCTAATGTAAAGAAAACAGAAGTCCTCACCACTGGGCCAATAAACAACATTCTTATCAACAGAGAAAAGATTGAAGTTGTCATGGACTTCATTCCTTTTGGATCACCTATCAACACTCATGGAAGCAGCAGTCAAGAAATCAAACAACATATTGCATTAGGCAAATCTGCAGCACAAGACCTTTTTAAAGTGTTGAAAAACAAAGATGTCAGCTTGAAGACTAAGGTGCACCTGACCCAAGCCATGATATTTTCAATAACCTCATATGCATGCAAAAGCTGGACAGTGAATAAGGAAGACCATAGAAGGAGTGATGCTTTTGAGTTATGGTGATGGAATATTGAAAGTGCCATGGGCTGCCAAAAGAACAAACTGATCTGTTTTGGAAGAAGTGCAGCCAGAATGTTCTTTGGAGGCTAGGATGGCCAAACTTCGTCTCTCATACTTTGTACATATTGTCAGGAGGGACCAGTCACTGGAGAAGGATATCATGTTTGGTAAGGTGGAGGGAGGGTCCGAGAAAAAGAGGAAGACCCTCAGCGAGATGGATTGGCCAAGTGGCAGCATCAATGGGCTCAAGCATGACAACAATTGTGAAGTTGGCCCAGGATCAGGCAGTGTTTCATTCTGCTGTGGGTAAGGTTATGAGTCGTTACCAACTCTATGGTACCTAACAACAACAACATAGAAGAATCAATGGATCTGAATTATATTTCTGAAGAAGAATATTAAAAGAATTATGGACTGCCAGAAAAGCAAATAAATCTGTGTTAGAAGAAGTGCAGCTAAGAATGTTTCTTGGAAGCTAGGATGGTGAGACTTCATCTTTCATACTTGAGACATGCTGTCAGGAAAAACCAGTCCCCAAAAAAGGACATCATGCTTGGTAAAGTGGAGGGTCTGAAAAAGAAAACAAAAAGGAGGACCTTCAATGAGATGGATGACACAGTGCCAACAGTAATGGGCTCAAATATAACAATAATTGTGAGATGATGCAGGACTGGGCAGTGTTTCATCCTTTTGTGTATAAAGTCTCTATGAGTTGAAACTGACTCAACAGCACCTAACAACAGCAATAAGCACTTTCTCCCTAACTTCTTATATTTGGACCATAAATTATATTCTAAAATGAGATACTAACATCTACTTAATTAAGGAACTTGCCATTTAAAATGGACCTTTATTTTAAAAGAAGAAAACATATTATTTGTTTTAACTTTTGCAGAGTAACACACACTGGCAATCCTAAATTAACTTTTATTCTTTCAGGAACACCCAATCCTTGGGCAACCCTTTTTTGTACTTCATCCCTGCAAGACGAATGAATTCATGATTCCTGTGTTAAAGAATTCTCAAAAAATCAATAGGTAAGAAATACCATGAAGACACATTGCTTTCTATTCTTATTTTTACAGTGTAAATCTTTTCATTTGACTTCAAAAGCCAGGCTAAAAAGAAATATTCCTTGTAATAATAATAATGGCTAACATTTATTGATTTTTACTATGTGCTTGGTAGGCATTGCTCGAAGTGTTAGATATATTGACTCATCTGATTTTTCTAGTAACCCTATGAGCTTGGTAGCATTATTTTTACTCAGTTTACAGTTGAGAAAGCTAAAGACATAGGTACTAAATGACTTGACCAAGACCACACAACTTGTTAACTGGTAGAAAATAGGATATGAACTTTGGTATTTTCTCCAGAGTCGTGCTGTGAACTACTGTACCGTTACTTTAGTAAATGCTGTTGGTTTTAAATGTGCCCCAACAGTTTGCATCCCCCCTTCAACTGCAGTGAAGGAGTCTCATAATCTCCCTGGGCCTCAAATGCTAGCCAAGCCATGGGACTTTTGTTCTGGCATGCTGTGATTTCAAGTGGTGGGCGCATGTCTCTGAATATAGCTTCATTCATATTACTGTTGGTGAGTGGCTGACTTTCTGCCATTCATCAAAACTTCACCGGACATGTTGGTAGTGCCTGTATTTTTACCTTGTTTCCTAGGAATGTCAACTACATCACGTCATGGCTGAGCGTTGTAGGGCCAGTTGTTGGTCTGAATCTACCTCTGAGTTATGCTGCAGTCACCTCACAGGATGAATGAAATGTTGATTGGTAAGGTAAACAGAAAAGGCTGCATCGATTGATTGCTGTTAAACAATCATGGTGTCTGTTTTACTTAGATATGTCCAGGCTGGCCCCATTATATTTTAAGTTTAATTTCATCTTTCAGAGGCTGAACCATAATTTGTTTTGTTTTTGTTTTTCAACAAGTGCCTTACCCAGTCCTTTGGGAGCATTTTACTTTGCTCTAAATAGCATTCACCCAAACTACAAAACTAAATCGTTTTATTTTCATGTTGATATTCTTGAAATCAATCTTTATTGTTCAAGTTAATTGTATTTTATTCTCTAGACTTTTATCTTCTTCTTTTTCTTGAGATTCTTCCACTGAGTCCAAAGTGCTTTGGAATTGTGGCATGAAGTACACCTAGAGTTTATCCAACCAGCACTGGTTTTAATAGGACCAATATTATGCAGTGTTGCATCTCGTTAAGATTTTGACTCAGATTTTTCTCCCCTGGGAGCAAATGTCTAATAGCAGTTGAGATACTGAATGCTTACAAGAACCACCTCAAAGATGCAAATTACCGTAGGTAGTAAAAGTGAATCTAACTCAGTAATCTCAGAAATGCTGACATCATTAAGGCATTTCCTGGTCATTGTCTTCTGGGTCAAATATTTGACATACCATCTTCTGAAATAAGGATAAAATGAGAAATGGATTTGTAAGTTCATTTTATTGTAAAGTGAAAATCAAAATGCAAGATTTACATGTTCCTAAAACTAATATCTTAAGCATGGTCTGTCTTAAATTACTCTCTTACAGTCAAACATAGGGACAATGGAGGATAACATTTATTATTATTATTACTCCAAAAGGAACAGAGTGTGCTTGCATATATTTAGATATAGAATTAAGAAAAACAAATATTCTATTATGAGATAACGAGCTTTTACAAGTGAAATATGACATATCAATTAAAAGTTTAAAACAATCTGTAGAAATATTTGAAATATTTTTGCCTATAGTACGGAGTCCTAGTGTGGCACTTTGGGTTAATGTGCTGGACTACAAGGTTGTTTTGAACCACAAGGTCGGTCGGCAGTTCAGGCTCACCAGTTGCTCCTCAGAAACGCTATGCAGGGTTCCTATGAATCGGGACCAACTTGACGGCACTTCACAACAATAACAAGACAATGGTCATTTTCTTCCTTTGGTTGTCAGTCTCACACCATTCTACTATTTGAATCACTTGAGCAAGGCTTCATGTTTCTGAGACTTGTTTTCTTCATCTGTAATATGAGAATATCAGGTTACCTCATAGGGTTGTTGTGAGACTCACCAAAGCAAACCACTACCATTGATTATGACTCTGATCAACACTGTAAGACAGACTAGAACTGCATCATAGGTTTCAAAGGCTGTTAGTCTTTGTGGAAGGAGATTGGCACATCTTTCTCCCAGAGAGTGATTATTAAGTGCTGACCTTTTGGTAATGGTCCAAGTGCTTTGACCATTGTACCAACAGAATCCTTGTGAAACCCATATGAAATCATGAATACATGAGAAAACATTGTGAAAAGGCATACAAATTTTCATTATGTGCTCACCTTTCTTATATATAATATTCAGTCACTCAGTCTGTAAGTAATGCAGTAAGTCACAAATGGTTTACACTCAACTGCTAAATTAAAGGTCCGTGGTTTGATTCCAACCTGAAGAAGAAAAACGCCTGGCAATTTGTATCCATTAATATTGTTGTTAGCGCTGTTGAGTCGGTTCTGACTCATAGCGACCCTGTATAGGGTTTCCAAGGAGCGGCTGGTGAGTTTGAACCACCTTCTTGCAATTCAAACCAAGCTTGTGGTCAAATACTTATCCAGCAGTACCACATCAGGACTTCTCCATTAATACTGCAGCCAAGAAAACTCTATGGAGTAGCTCTATTCTGCACACACAAGAACTGGAATCAACTCAACAGCAGTTAGAATCAGTAACAACAACAAGCTATTAGAGTGAACCTAATCTGGAAGGCTTTCTGGTTGAGCTTTCTTATTTTGATTTGTTTTTTTTGTTTTCATTTCCATTTACTTGGTGTTGTTGTTGTTATGTAACATGGAGTCAGTCCCGACTCATAGTGACCCTGCACAGGGTTTCCGAGACTGTAAATCTTTACGGGAGCAGAATGCCTCATCTTTCTCCCATGGAACGGCTGGTATTTTCGAACTGCTGACCTTGAGGTTAGCAGCCTGACTCGTAACCACTAAGAGACAAATTTAACTGTCTCTTTTGAGAATCTAGATTCATGTCTTTGGGTGAAGGATGTACATTAGAAACACTTGAGGGGCTTTTTTTTTTTAAGTTTTTATTGTGCATTGAGAGAAAGTTTACAGGGCAGATCATCAGTTCTACAGTCAACAAATCATACACTTTGTTTCATTGTTGTTCTTGTCAGGTGCCATCGAGTTGGAACCGACTCATAGCGACCCCATGCACAGCAGAACGAAACAATGTCCGATCCTGGGCCAACCTCACTACCGCTGCCACACTTGAGTCCATCAATGATGCCACCTGGCTGATCCATCTCGTTGGGGGTCTTCCTCTTTTTCTCTGACCCTCCACCTTACCCAGCATGACATCCTTCTCCAACGATTGTTTCCTCCGGACAATATGTCCAAAGTAGGAGAGATGAAGCTTAGCCATCCTGGCTTCCAAGGAGCACTCTGGCTGCACTTCTTCCAAAACAGATCTGTTGGTTCTTTTGGCAGTCCATGGCACTTTCAGTATTCTCCTCCAACACCACAACTCAAAGCCATCAATTCTTCTACGATCCTCCTTATTCATTGTCCAGCTTTCGCATCCATATGAGGCTATTGAAAACACAATGGCCTGGGTCAGGCGCACCCTAGTCCTCAAGCTGACATCTCTGTTCTTCAACACTTTAAAAAGTTCCTGTGCAGCAGATTTGCCCAGTGCAATACGTCGTCTGATCTCTTGACTGCTACTTCCGCGAGTGTTGATAGTTGATCCAAGAAGAATGAAGTCCTTGACAACTTCAATCTTTTCTCCATTGATACGAATGTTGTTTATTGGTCCAGTGGTGAGGATTCATTATTTCATTACAATGGTTATAATCCCCTCCATGTACCATCAGTTAACAGTATTTCTCTCTATTCATGTTAGCTCTTTTTTTTTTTTTTAATGCTCAGGTATATATAATAATTTACACCACCAAAGGACGCATTCTGCAAGTCTGCTTCCTGGCTGCCAGCTCTTAGTCCCTCTCTTCCCATGAATCTAGAGTCCTTAGCTGCTCTCTCTCTCCATGTCCCTATCTCTGTCTCCATCTCTGGTGTCTCTGCTTCTCTGGATAAGGTCCTGCATTCCATTTGTGCTCTTTTCCTTTGATGGTCCTAGGGACTTGAGGAGCTTTTACTCTACAAATGATGTGGGCCCAGGCTTGGCTGTCAGAAACAATATGGCAGGAATGGATTACCCAATGAACTACAGATTAGTCAGTAAGTACCAGTAAGCCATGTTTACCTTTCTTATTGGTACTGCATCCCTGTCAAAGATCACAAATTTGTGAATAGGCTTGGCTTCTGTAGGAGTGTGCTATGAGGTTGAGAGAGAGACAGATGCCATCCTTACTTAGATTCTTTGATATAATGAAAAAATGTGTAATTATTCACTACAGATTAGTAAGTAAGCACAAGTAAGCCCATGTTTATGTTGCTTATGAGGTAATCCACCACTGTTCTGTGGGGTGATTCTTCTAATCCAACACTGTTTGGGGGGCACCTCTGGTCTGGATGTGACTTTATTGTTGTGTTTACTTTGTAGCACTTCGTTTTGTTTTTTCCTTATTGTATTGTTTTGGTCTCCCAACTCTTCCAAATGTGTGTATAGGTACTGCAAACTGAACTTACTTATTAACGTTTGTCTGGGAATTATTACTCCATGACTCATGGACATTAAGGCAGTTTAAAAGGTATTTGTTTACAAGATGCTCACTTGTGGGAAGCCAATCATGTGGAGGGAATTTTTATGAGTTTCATGAGTTACAAAGGATTATGACAACACTTCCAGCCCACATTTGTAAGTTAAGGGCTGAACTTTCCAAAGGGAATGAAGATATAGGAAAGGGTTAATTCAAACTGCTAGAAAAGCTAAAAGTAAATTTTAAAATGCTGAGCTGCACATATTCATGCTAGGATGAGAGCCTGCTTATATGCTTGCTGGGCATTTTGGTATTTACCACTTAAAATCTTTTCAACTTCTGCAAGGGAATTTTTTTCTCCCTCACTCCCTAATGTAAACACAAATTTCTCAGCAAGTTATTTCTCAAGTCATGTCGTTGCTGGTATAAAATGGGGGGGGGGGGGGAAGGGGGGATTTCATAATAATGTGTCATCTGGATGTTGTACTTACCTGAAAATATTAGTTACCTTTTGCCAACAGATTCTGAGATGATACTTTATCACTTTGGGGTAATGTGTTTTTTTTTTCTTTTAAAGTCTACAAATTCTTTGTTCTCTGATTGATGAAGACTTAAAAATCCCATCAGTGGCCAAAAAAAGTTCTGAAGAGCTGCTTGCTGTAGATTTCTAAGACCTTCCATTCTAGATAGATCCAGTTTCTCAGACTGCTCTATTTTCAAAACTTTTTTCACTTAAAAGACTGAACTTTTTATTGAGAAACTTAACATTTTAAAAAATGTTATTATGCCAATAAATTATCACAACAGTTATGAAACATTAAAAACATTTTAAAAATTATTTTGTTCTGTCAATGTGATGGTTCTTTCTCTGTACTGTAAAGATTTCTCCTCCTAGTTTTTTCCCAGAAATCAACCTGGTTAAAGCTGCTACAAGCAACTTCTAGAACTCCACTTTTGGGTGACCTTGGAAAAACTGCTTCACCTCCTATGATCCTCAGTTTCCTCATTTGTAAAATGGGGAAGGCCAACTAACAGGACTTTTGAGACCCATTGGTGTTGTTAGGTGTGTGCATTGGGGAGATGCCTAGAGATCTACACCATGAGTTTGTTCAGC